CTGCTTCTCCCTCTCCCACTCCCCCTGCTTGTGTTCCCTCTCGCTGTCTCTCTCCATCAAATAAATAAATAATTCTTAAAAAAAAAAAAAAAAAACCTTACTGTAGAAAGACACTGATAAGAGGATTTTTAGAGCTCTTTTAAACTCTGCTAAAACTCCAGACTAATTGTCCACATAATTCTATCTGTAATTATGGGTGCTATTTTATCTTAGTTCTTTCATTTTGTCTACATATTAAAATATACACGCATTGCATTTTCTTATTCTGAACTCATCACTTGTTCTTTCTTAATAATGTCGCCATCCTCTAGCCACTGAACAACTAGGTGTCCTCAACATCTAGGTCAGTTTTGACTCCTTCTTCTTGCCTCATGGCTCTTTACATACAAAAATCCCATTGAATCTAACTCTAGTTGGTATCTTATATCTTTTCCTCTCCCTGCTTATTGTTATCTCTAGTTCATACTTCACTGCCTCTTGTTTCCTGGGTTTCCTGCTACCAGATGTTTTTTACAGTCTTACGCAGTTAGGTTGATTTTCCTAAAGTACAAGCCTCTGTATTCTTCTTACTGGTTAGAAAATAAAATGTGAGCTGTACTTCAGTTACCCATAGATGCATAGAGCAAGCCACCGCCAAACTTAGTAACTTAATATGACAATTTTATTTGTCGACAATTTTGTGAGTCAGGAGATTGGGAAGGACTAATCTGGGCTGTTCTTTCTGATCCACATGTCGCTAGCAGAGATAGTAGCGCTGGAGGTTCCCCTTCCAAAATGCTTTTTCACTCCCATGCCTTGTCAGGGACTGCTGGGAGGGTGGGCTCAGCTACATTTTCTTTCTCCAGGTAGTGTCAGGGCTTTCCATGTGATCTCTCCATCAGGACTCACACTTCTTAATGGTGATTCTGGGTTCCAGGAGCCCTAGGTGGAAGCTGCTCAAAGTTCTTAAAGGCAAAGCTTGGAGCTTGCTAGCACAGCATTCAGTTTAGCTTAAATACAGCTATTTGGGCTAAGCTTCCCTGACTCTCTGCCCTCTCCCTACTGGAATAGTGTCTTTATTGTGCTAATTCTTTATATTTTTTAGTATACTTAATTGTGTGCAGAGTTTCTCTCACTGATTGTACTCCCAAGTTTTTTGAGCAAGATCCATGTTGGATTTTCTTTGTATGTATTCCTCATGATGCATAACACACCTTTTTTTTTTTTTTTTAAGATTTTATTTGAAAGGGAGAAAGCGAACACAAGCGGGGGGTGGAGTGGGAGGGGAGGGGAGGAGCAGAGGGACCAGCCGACTCCCCTCTGAGCGCAGAGCCTGATGCCGGGCTTGATCCCAGGACCCCCGGATCATGACCTGAGCCAAACTCAGACGCTCAACGAACTGAGCCACCCACATACCCCACAACTGTTTTATACCATGTGGCAAGACCACAATAAATATTTGCTACTCTTTAATATATTTTAATTTTAATATTAAATAGTAATGTAGGGGCGCCTGGGTAGCTCAGTCAGTTAAGCGTCTGACTCAATTTCAACTCAGGTCTTGATCTCAGGGTCCTGAGTTTAAGCTCCATGTTGAGCTCCACCCTGGGCATGAAGCCTACTTAAAAAAAATAATAATATAAATCCAGTTCAGTATAGAAAAGTCAGAAAATACAACAAAGCAAAAAATATAACTACTTTAAACTTACTACTTAGAAATAACCATTATTAACTTTTTGTTGTGTCGATTTAATATTGATTAAACCTTAGTATAGGCTTACAACGAATGGATATCCAAATAATGGTTAAGATGAGGAGCTAGGATTTGAATGAAGAACAGTAATCACTTACAGTCACTCAGAAAACCATGCTGGGAAGCATTGTTGTGGAGTGGTATGATGTGGGCATGTCAGCTTCCAGCCTGTGCCTGGCTCTGCTTTGCCCACCTTTCACTGGAAAAAGAGATTAACTCTTTAAGTTGGAAACATCTTTTATTACTCCAAGACCAGTGTTGCTGAAGTGACAGACATATTTATGGAGATTACTCTGGAAAGCAGGAATACCACAAAACCCCAGGACCATGCAGTATTCTGTTAGGAGCATGTGGAAGGAAAAATGGACATGTAACACGAATAGAAGGATGAGAAGAAATTTATTTATAA